AAAATAATTTAAAAAAGTAACAATAAATAAATTTTGAAACGTTTTTTAATGGAAAATATTTTTCTTTCTAATTTGGTGAGATTTACTTTTCTCAATATCGCTCAATATTGAAAAATATTAAATTAGAAAAATAAAATGGTTAACATAACCTCACTTTTTTGTCACAATGATACAAGTTGGCGTGTTGTGTATGTGTCAATGTTTTTCGATTGGCGCGTTGTGTATGTGTCAAACCAAATCCAAAGATATTCATTTATATGTATTAAAAATGTGCTCGCATCGTGTGACAGTATTGTTAGTATAAACAACTTCCATCACTTTGAAACTACAATCGCACCAACCGATTTTCTTCGCTGAGGAATGGATATATTCACAGTTGGTTTTGTGTTCATTTTTGTTTTAATTTCGAAATAACAGAGTGCCCATATAATTCATTTGCGGAGTAATTTTGATGATGGCGGGACTGTGCGGAGTTTGGCGGAGATGACATACAAACTCTGTGTGTACGAGGGTAACAGCACATCTATGTGTATCATTATTACGCAGATGATTAGTAACTTAGCTGTGTGTCTGTGTACGGCTACTAAGATGTTCGTTTGGACAAAATAAATCTATGAACAGCAAAGAATGCTGTTGCACTCGTACACACAGCATTTGCATGCTATCTCCGCCGAACTCCACACAGTCCCGCCATCGACAAAATTGCTCCGCAAATGAGTTATATGGGTGTTGATAAAATTTACTGTGGATATTCTAACAACATTTCGATCGGAAAAATATTTGATGTCACATTGGAAATAAATTTCATCATTCGATTTAGACAGAGTTCTTTGTTGAGGTAAGACGTGATATTTATAATGCGTTCTTCATTACTGTTTCATTTGATTTTTGATAGAAGTGTTTTTATCTTATTGTGTTTGTGATCTATCTATATTTGGTGCGTTTTTTTTTCTAAGTTTGTGTCTCTTTTTTTTTTCGTTTATTTGTATCAGTTCTTCAATTTGTATCAGTGTACATGTTTGTTGTTATTGGTGGTCAACAAATTGTTATGATTTAACATTCGCTTAAAACCTGTCATTGAGACTTTTTACTGACTCGAAAATCATAAGGGGACTCGCAAATCACATACAGACTCTTATTGATTAGTATAGTTTACATGAGACTCTTGCGATTCACATATGTCATAAGCCCCTCGATCGAATATCATCATCTGCCAAGGGTTAATTTGTTCCACCAACCATTTCAATGCTTATGTCAATGTTATTATTAATGTTTCAGTTGCAAGGGTTACACTTCAACTACAAAGTGACAAATATTGCTCGAGAATTGGAAAAAAGGATAAGGGCTGGTTAGACTCCGTCTTAGAAGGTAACTCCATGCATTTTTAGTTTAATTAATTTGATTTAGTCTTTTAACAGTGATTTTTTAAACATTTCTTTTCTCACAGGCTTAGTTGCAATTCGAATTCCATCGCTAATAGCAATTGGATTTATTTTTCTAATCATTGTTGTGATAATTCTCATTTATTTTCTACGTGAACGAAAGAGAATCCGTCTTTTTAAAAATCTTCTTCACCTTGCTCACCTTTTGCCGTATAAAAAAGAGTTCGAATTTCCCAGAAAAAGACTGGAAGTTGGAAAGAGGCTTGGTTCTGGTGCTTTTGGTGAAGTTCACGAAGGAATTGCAATAAAAATCTTAAATCATGAGCAGGAAACCAAAGTTGCCATCAAAAAGGTCAACGATGTGTCGAATAAGGAAGTAAGTTTATTTTGGATATAAAATTATTTACGGACTCATACACAAATCGTTCTTAATGATTTCTGAACATTTGTACAATATCCAATAATACAAATAAGCTATTTTCATACAATATAGGATATAAACATCTTAATATCAGAGCTAAAGGTCATGATGCATCTGGGCCGGCATTTTAATTTGGTGAATTTACTCGGAGCTGTCACCGAGAATATTGAACAAAGTAAATAGAAATCATTCTCATTTTACGAATAATTCTCAAAAATAAACATTTGTTCATTCGATATTTCTGTAGGCGGACTAATGATCATAGTTGAACTCTGTGAATTTGGAGACATTGAAATATTATTGAGGAACAATCGTAAATATTTCATCGATCAAATTAATCATGAAAATGATACAATTGATGCAACAATTTGCGCAAAAGATCAAGGAGATCAAGAAGGTCAACGGTCATCCACTGAATCTCTTGAAAATGACGGCTATAAAACCTTGACTAAACCTCGTAATGCAAAATATTAGTTAACTAGTCTGCTCAATAAGTACAATCAAAAATCAAACATGATATTTTTCAACGAACTCATATTCATTCATGTCTTTACGGAAGCTAACGCGAACTTATTGAACGGACTGAATCAACTTCCATATTTTGCTTGAATTCGTCAATGCTATTGACTACGAATATTTGTTTGATTTTTTCCACTAAATACTATGTGTTCTGATCCTTATCCCTCTTGTTTATTCTACTCCTGTTATTATTATAACGGAGTCATATGCTATAAACGATTGGTTGGAGGCCAATACTATTGATTTAAAATGAAGAGATTTTTTCAACTGCACAATACAATAAACCTAATTTTATCACAACAGATCCGATTACAACGAGTGATTTACTTTGCTGGGCATTTCAAGTGGCGCGAGGCATGCACTATTTAATTTCTCATAATGTTCTACACAGAGACTTGGCAACCAGAAATATTCTACTGTGTGCCAACAATGTTGTGAAAATTTGTGATTTCGGCTTGGCAAAAAGTTTGCACAACAAACCATACTACCGGAAAAATGGAGGAGTACGAAAGAGTGATTTTTATTATAAAAAGGTACAAAAATGTTACTATAATTCAAATATCATTTGCAGGAACGGGTTCCTTACAGATGGTTGGCTCCCGAATCTTTAATCGATCAAAAGTACAGTGTTCATTCAGATGTGTGGTCATTTGGTATCGTGCTATGGGAACTATTTTCACTCGGATTAATGCCATATTCGAAATTAGATGATCCTTTTAACAATTTGGCAAACTTTTTACAACGCGGCAACAGATTGAGCAAACCAGAATATGCCACACAATCCATGTAGATTTCAAATGGTTTTTATCATGCGAATATTATCAATAACTTATTTTTTTTTTTTAGATACGATATTATGATGTCATGCTGGAACGCCGACCCCAACGCACGTCCATTATTCGACAGTCTTGCCATGACATTTTGCGATCTTATGAAACCTGATGACCTAGAGGAATTTATCGATTTAAATAAATCGTTTATGGAAAAAAATGCCGAAAAATACAAATCTGAAGAAAATGATTGTTTGGCCTCAGTTAAATTGGATGAAAACCCTGAAAATGATGAAAATACAACACAGTCATGCGTTGTTGATGTCTTATCTCCTGAAAACCCAAACGGAAACGCCGAATGTGTGGTGGAAATACCATTGAAGACGATTGTTTAAATTGAAAGAATACAAATTTATTATTATTTTATTTGGGCGATTATTTTGTCGAGCAACTATGATTATTGTCAATTATCGTTACCTGCTACATTTAACCATAGCTAACTTTAATTGATGAAAGTTAACAGAGGGTTAACTAAAATTGATTGCTCCAGAATAAAAACAGTATATCAATGCCAAACAAGACGTTTTTCACAAAGATTTGTTTGAATTACAAGTTACAACTTAAATATACTAAAATATTTTTCTTAAATAAAAAGGCATGGAACCGAAATGTTGGGAAAAAACTGTTTTTTGGACATTTGAAATTTCTGCATAGCGTTTGGTCAAGTTCTCACAGAACCCAATTATAAATCAATAAAAAATTATTTGAATCTACTTATATGGCCTCAAGATTATTTAATGAATATTGATAACGGCTCTATCGAATTTCTTTTATTCTTTTTAGCTAAATACACTTTGAATTAATAAAAATACATTCTATTTATTTTTGAGAATTTTTTT